GTCTGTATTTTGTTAATTATGTCTGAAAAATATTCATTAGCACACTGTGAGTGCTTGCATGTCACTGGCATCCTATATTATGTAAAAGAATAAGCAGTGAATCAACATAAATCTACAGGCTTAGCTTTGCTGATCTGTGATTATCAAGAAATACTGTCAAGGCACTCTTCTCTCTCTCCTTGTGTAAAGATTCTGTCAGTCCTTGTTGTCACATAATAAATCAGGAAACGCTTACGGTAAATGATGATCCTCACATATGATAATTATATCAGAGATGTACCTATGTTTAAAATTCATAAGGTGCATTCTGTCAAACTGTTGTGCTTTTAAAGTGCTTGAACATGGTAGGAAACTGTAAAAAAAAAAAAAAAGATGGATCCTCCTGCAGGTTAATGGCATAATGTGCTAGTAAGTCTGCATTATGGCAGACTTACCTGTAAAATGGATTTCTCCAGTGGTGCACTTCGCTGCCAGAGATGCAATCTTCACCCTGTCTTCTTTCCAAGTTCATGGGTACCCGCCATTTGAATGCCCAAGTAGCAATGGCGTCACACCCGCACATGCGTGTGGAAGTCACCGCCTTGACTTGAGTGTGCCTTTCATTCAGAGCCAGTGCGCATACGCCAGCGACGTTACCAGGTGCTACACATCTGAATATCCCCTAAACAGTGCATGTTTTGTGGATATTCACTGTACCTACAGCTAAGCCTTATTATTGGCTTACCTGTAGGTACAAATTAAAAAGCGGAGTTTACTGTTGCTTTAATTTTTTTTTTTTTAACAGTATATGATAACATTTTTGAGGTTTTTTTTGTGTTTTTTTTTTGTCCAGTTTGGCTTTAACTTGCCCATACTATAAGAAATTTTTCTTATGAAATATATTTTTTCATGTTAACTTTTAGTTTTATTTGCATTTCAGGCTTCAGAACTGCAATATTTATCTGTGCCACATATGTAAATGAATGATTCAGTGATAAAATATGTTTATAGGGTCACTGCCATATTTAAATGATAAGTCTAACTTTGTGACCACATTTCAGATTGCAACAATATTTAGAGTGAACGTGAAACATGGCCATATTCCCTAGCCCCCACCCTTACCTGAATTGGGGACTTTTTCTCCCCATGGCATTTTGTATTCTATTAAGGACCTGTGAATGGGAGACCATAAGTCCTATCTACAAAAACTACTATAAATAAATAAGTAAATAAACTCCCTGCTATGCAGATGTGCGTGTGCTATAATGCCCCGCGGGCTGGCAATTGTATCCCTCCTCCCCAGTCTTAGGTGAACCAATATGTAAGGCAAAGTGCTAAAACATCATCGTATGACATCAGGAGCATGGCCATCAGGAACGTGATGTCATATGACAAAACGCGTAGGGTAGGACTTGATAGCGCTACACTTGTTGTGCAATTTTAATGTTTTTTATCCAATAAATATGGTATTACACTATGGAAGTTTTCTTTTGATGTTTTTACGATGGAGTACTGTGGATGTCCTGGAGGAGTTTTGTTGCAAACGATAATCTAGAGGTGTTTCACTATGGAGTCTGTCATCAGCGTATAGAGGGGTCAAGACCACATAGACGGCCAACTTTCCTGCAGGAGAGCGCTTCAACATCCTATGCGACATTTGACCTACCATTCCAGGTGGTCAATTATCTGTGGTGAGTGGGGCTCTAGAGGGGGAGCACTAATAGGAGCACTTTGCACAGAGAATTACTATGGATAAGATTTACCACTGTAGTATCACTTAATATTCACACTGGATATGGATGAGGGTTCTTTTGTTTTTGGAACTTTTTTTTTTTTTTATATGTTCGCACCACATTGGGACTTTAATATATATTATATGTATTGTTTATACACATTCACTGTATACACAGTTTATGGCATTGTATATATGTTTTTTTAGCACCATTGATGTTTTAGCACTTTGCTTTACATATTGGTTCACCTAAGACTTAGTCGTTGGGGAAGAGGGATACAATTGCCAGCCCATGGGGCATTATAGCACACGCACATTTGTATAGCAGGGAGTTTATTTATTTGTTTGTTTATTTACTTTATTTATAGTAGTTTTTGGGAGAGGCAGCACAGCAATTTTTATGTTTACACTTACACTTTGTTCACCGGTACACATTTTTTTTTGCTAGCAGCAGCCAGCCTTATTGTTCAGTCCTCTGCACAGGTTATACTCATGCATAAGACCTATCTGCCACTGCGGCAGAGGATTTCAGATATCAATGAAGCACAAATGCGGTGACTTCCCCACACTTATAGTCCATAGATTATTTCCTTCAGCCCCAGGAGCAAAGGTTAGTGCTTCATTATGGTCCTGGGGCTAGGGAAAAGTCTGCAGGAACGTGTGCATTGCACACCCAATGCACTGATTGTGACTGCAATGCTCTACATGCTCCAGTGCAAAATATTAATAAACCTACATTTTTCTTTTATCAATGTGGGTGTGATTATCAATTTGTTTTCCAAAAAATGGGCTATGCCTTTTGTTGTCAGGGAGTTTTGAATCAATAATCACCTCTTTAACCTTAGAGTATTAACAAATCCTTTTTTAAAGTAATTCTGCTTAGAATATAAATTAAGAAGTATGAAGTTAAGTGATTATTCATTGACTGAATGATGAGGACAAATAAGAAACAAACTGATCAATGCCTTTTCATTTAAGCAAAATCATCCTTGGATAGCTTCAATGTGTGCAGTGTCAGATGCTTTTGTGCCCTGCGTCAGTTTAAATTACACATGCTACAAAAGGTACTAAATGCAGCCTCTTTAACATATGCCATCTTCGTTTTGAAATATTTTTTATAGACTTTAAAGATAAGCTTCATGGTTCTGTAACTCCCAGTGCTCCTTTAGTCCCATGGAGCACTCCAAGTAAACTGCTGTTGGAATCTCAAATGTGTGTGTGATAAGTTCACGTTCCAAACATTTTCTCTAAGTTCAGTTTTTATTAAAGGCAAGCAACACAATAAAAACGTTGCTTCAGCAGTCAAATGTAGAAATCCACTCAGAGAAATACCTTCCTTTAAGCAAACTTAAATCCAAGAACAAAATTGTAGCATTTCTTCTACTGTTCATTAAGGGACAGTGGGTTTTTCGATGTGATTGGGTTATAGTGCTGTCTTCAGGAGGCATTGTACACTGGCAAACAAGAAGCCATTGGGTAGATAGGTATATTCTTTCCCACTCTCTGCATGCCTCAGATTTTTGCTATGAGGATGCATACAGTATGTTTTTTCTGCTGAGAAAAGTTTCCTACTTTTTTTTTGTTTTTACTAGCCTTTTTCTCTGTACTCAGAATAATTTTTCTTCAATCAGCACTTCATCGGGGTGTTGCTGAGTCAAGATCATTATGCAGCTATGCTGATCAACTTAGCCTTGGCTCTGCCTTGGAGGCCATGCACAGATCCCTCTGTATCAAAGACTGTGAAGCTACACTGGAATTTGACCCTTTGGCACTGGGATCTACTAGTTTTTTCAGTAATGTTAGTTGTAGAGTGCTTTCCAGATTCCGTCGTGGCACTGCCTATGGTGTGCCCATCCTTTCTTGGCTCTTACTAATACACTGCATTGCATCAAAAGCTACTAAAGTATAGTATCTTTTATTGTTGCCATTTTCCCCTATTCCATCAGTTTCTGCAGAAGGGGTTAAAGTGTTACTAAACCCACAACAGTAAAATCAGTCTGTATATGCAGTAAAGTATGCTTATTATACTCACTGTGGAACCTAAGGGGTTATTCCTCTGCATTGTGTAAAAAGGCTGTTTGATGCTGACTTCTGTGTCCCTCCTCTTGTTCAAATGTCCACGCTGATAAGACAGACTGAACCCGTAGCCCTGCACAGTTTAGTGTGTATTTCTAGAGAGGGGAGAGTGCATGTGATCAGCACAGGGCCAATCAGCACTGGTCAGACAGAGGTCAGGGGTTTTGCATTCTCCTAGAGTAGAAAGAAAACTCCTCCTATAAGCTTTAGCTAGTGCTGGGCTGGATTCTGATAGAAGTCACAAGAATTCTCTAATTGCTAATGATAAAAGGTATTTAGCAGTTTATATTTGTAAAAAAATAATTGTACTTCCATGTTCTGTGCACTGTGGCACACCAAATATAGTGGATGCAGGGTCCTAGGTTTAGTAACACTTTAATACACTGAAATATCATTGCTGCGTCATCAGCTAGAGAGTGGCATGTGTGGATTTACTCCAGCCCAGGAGTAAATCCAGTTTCAGGGTGGTTTGCAGTGTTCCTTCTAAAGGATCTGAAACTAGCAGCCTTGATTGACCCCTCCTTGAATCAACTCATCTCTAGAAGTCGTCTTTGGCCTTGTCAGGTGTGGCCACCTCCTCCACTTTTTTTTACAGGGAGGGGTTCTTTGAAACCATGTAGGATATCCTGAGCCTAGTTTCTAAGATGATTGCTGTCTCAGAACACAGAGACGGTAAGCCTGTCCTTATCCTTAAGACAGTTTCTGAATTACCTGCCTGCAGCTGCTTCAGTGTCTTCTGCTGCAATAGTTCTTCCTGAATTGGGAACTCAAAGCTTCTTCATGAACAACTAGCAGCCTCAGTCTACTGAATAGGCTCCCAAGCCTGAATAGATTATACCAACCCTTATGGATGCAGTAGATTTATATTTAAAATGGAACAGCCAATGAATTCAACTAGAACCTTCCACATTCCTTCTCCAGCCCTACTAAATGTAATGTCGAGCACATCATTAAAGTTGAGGGCAGATAGCACTCTTTAGTAAGAGATTTTTCAGACCTGGGAACTTACAAATGATCAGCTAGGCAAAAAATGTGATGATTCCGTTGTTGAAACAATGGTATACTAGGCATTTGTCTGACTGATGTTTATGGGGGTATCAGTGGCTTATTTGCATATCCAAATAATGCATTACTGTATCCTTTGCAACAAAATGTATAAACCTATTTTTCAAGCCTAAAGTAAACCTGTCACAAAAGTAGACAATTCACGCTGAGTATACAATGCAAAAAAAAAAAAAATAATCGGAGGTTACTTTTCGTAAAAACTGTGTGTCAAAATGATCAGTAGATGCAGAGATATTGGCAGCTACAGTCATATGCAAGTCTTAAACCTTTCTCCTGATTTCCAACCCACTTGTTTGGTTAATTCATGGGATTCATGAAGTGGGAGGGGATTAGTAGTTAGCGTGACATTTTTTTTTAATACAGGTTGATTCAGAAAGTTCCTGCTATATTTACAATGGTGACCGCTTGAAATTGCTGTAGAAATTACACTCTCTGGTCACTTTATTAGGTACACCTATCAATTGCTTGGTAACAAAAATTGCTAAACAGCCAATCACATGGCAGCAACTCAATGCATTTAGGCATGTAAATGTGGTAAAGATGACTTGCTGAAGTTCAAACTGAGTATTAGAATGAGGAAGAAAGGGGATTTTGAATGTGGCGTGGTTGTTGGTGCAAGAAGGGTTGGTCTGAGTATTTAAAAAACTGCTGAACTACTGGGATTTTCACATACAGCCATCCCTAGGGTTTACAGAGAATAGTCCAAAAAAGAGAAAATATACAGTGAGCGGCAGCTGTGTGGATGAAAATGCTTTGTTGATGTCAGAGGAGAATGGGCAGACATAAAATAACCTGAAAGCATGGATCCATCCTGCCTTGTTTTAACAGTTCAAGCTAGTGGTGGTGGTAGAATGGTGTGGGGGATATTTTCTTGGCACTAGTGAGGTGTACCTAATAAAGTGGCCAGTGAGTGTATTTTCCAGTACCTGTGTAGCTTACCATTTCACAGACACTGAAAATTCAAGCCTCCTTACTTGAGTTAGTATGGCTGGCTAGATCTTTTATTGGGTTGAATATATATGGTTATAGCCAAATTTGACAGATGTGGTTTCTTGGTAACCTAGCTGAGACTCTGGCACATGTGGGGAACAATTGAAGTGTCTATAAAATGTCCACCTACCTGTATATACTGTAGGTTATTATTTTCCACTCTACACATTTAAGCACATTTTTTCTGGGTAGCTGAGGTAGCTTCAGACAATATACCACTTGATTATCAGAATTTAGGTCTAAAGTAGCTTTGATAATCAAATAGACCCTTTAATAACTAGCCTAGTGTCAATAACCTCTTTGCGCCTCCCGGCCTTTAAGAGTTTCAGAACCTAGGAGGCGTGGCAGGGTTTTAGGATCATGTGACCGCCGTGATTCGCCGTCACATGATCAGAAAAGGTCCCGATCAAAAGGGGAGATCGGGATCTTTTCGGGAGTTGCGGACATATGTGGGATCGTGCAGGGTATGCGCTCTCAGCACATATGCATTTTCTAATTGCGAGCAAATATGCAGCCACTCGGCGTCAAGGCCCAGACTCCAAGTGGCCGCATAGTTGTGTGCGATCAGCATCAAAGGGTTAAAGAATAAGTAAATTCACCTTTGAAGAAAAAATATAAGTTGCAAATATTGTTGTAGGTTAACAAAATGTGCATTTACAATTTTTTTTTTATTTTTTTTTAGTAGCATTTAAGCATTGCACCAGTGACCAGCAGATCACTTGTGCCATGCAAGACTCCTACAGACTATTAGTCTAATCTGTCTGCCCATAGATTGTACAGGCAGGCAGTTTCTCACTGACAGGAAGACAACAGATGAACTACCATGGCTCAACAGTGCCTTGGTAGTTAATTGAGAACTAAAAGCTGACATCCCCAAAGGCTGTTGGTGCTTGTAGTTGATTCATTTACAGAACTCTGTGAATGAATGATGCTACCATATGTGCGGAGCCCCACACGGCCCGCACTCCTATTCACCTTAAAAATGGGTGGAAGATGTAACATGCTCCTGAAGGTGAACTCATCCTTGAACTTCCTGGCGGTAATCCCGAGTGTGACTCGGGGTTATTTTCAGTACCAAAAGCAGTAACTCCAAGCAACACTCGGGATTACACTGCAGCAATCCCTTGAACCTTACCTTGTCCCACGATCCCGCGAGGTCCTCCCGCTGTGTCCCCCAGCCATGTCCTCCAGCCGATGCCAGCATGCATCTTCCGGGTTCCGTTCCCTGCGAGCGTCGGGATGTACGGGGGGTGGAACTGTGGGCACCCGGCTTTGACAGCGTCGGGATGTACGGGGGGGGTGGAACTGGCAGGAGATGACCAGAGACTGCGGACAGTACAGGGGATGACCAGAGACTGCGGACAGTACAGGGGATGATCAGAGACTGCGGGCAGTACAGGGGATGATCAGAGACTGCGGACAGTACAGATGACCAGAGACTGCAGACAGTACAGGGCATGACCAGACACTGCGGACCTTTAGGGAGGGAGGGTGAGCGGGTACCTGAATTTGACAGGTACCCGCTCCCACTTCCGTGGAGTTCTCCTTCCTATACTGTGGGCACCCGGCTTTCCCTGCGAGCGTCGGGATGTACGGGGGGTGGAACTGGCAGGAGATTCAAAAAAGTAAAAATTTGATACACACACAATACACTGTAATCTCTTAGTATTACATTACTGTATTAAACCATTTCACCTAAATATTGTCCCTAGTGCTTTGTCCACTGCCCTGCCTGCACTTTTACTGTTCTTTCTGCCTGGAAACTGAGAAAAGTCCATGGCATCCCAAAAGTGTCCCTTTAGGTCAAAAGCGGTTTTACACCAGGTAGAAAACAGCGATATTGAATTAGAATTACTTTGAGAATTGAGCAATAATGATTCGTGGGGAAATTCGTCATCAGACACTGAAAACGATTCTGCGACTGAGCTTAGCGATGTGTGAACTTGGTGCTGTATTTCAAATTTCAGTGTTTTTGGTTAGATTACATTATTGAATTAAATATATTAATTTTTATAATTTATTATATTATAATTTATGATTTTGTGTTTTCAAACTTTATCATGCCCAGGATGTTTACTAGACTCTTGTTTGGACAGATTTATTTTTAAGAATTACAGGTCTACAATATACCGTATTTTTCGCTCCATAAGACGCACCTGACCATAAGACGCGCCTAGGTTTTAGAGGAGAAAAACAAGAAAAAAAATATTCTGAACCAATGGACTGCAGACATAGTATAAGAAGTGACCAGAGACTGCGGACACAGTACAAGAGATGACCAGAGACTGCGGACACAGTACAAGAGATGACCAGAGACTGCGGACATAGTACAGGAGATGACCAGAGACTGCATACATAGTACAGGAGATGACCAGAGACTGCGGACATAGTACAGGAGATCACCAGAGACTGCAGACAGTACAAGAGATGACCAAAGACTGCAGACAGTACAAGAGATGACCAAAGACTGCGGACATAGTACAGGGGGATGACCAGAGACTGCGGTCATAGTACAGGCGATGACCAAAGACTGCGGACATAGTACAGGGGATGACCAGAGACTGCGGTCATAGTACAGGCGATGACCAGAGACTGCAGACATAGTACAGGAGATGAGCAGAGACTGCGGACAGTACAGATGACCAGAGACAGCGGACACAGTACAGGAGACGACCAGAGACTGCGGACACAGTACAGGAGATGACCAGAGACTGCAGACACAGTACAGGGGATGACCAGAGACTGCAGACAGTACAGATGACCAGAGACTGCGGACAGTACAGGAGATGACCAGAGACTGCGGACAGTACAGGAGATGACCAGAGACTGCGGACAGTACAGGGGATGACCAGAGACTGCGGACAGTACAGGGGATGATCAGAGACTGCGGGCAGTACAGGGGATGATCAGAGACTGCGGACAGTACAGATGACCAGAGACTGCAGACAGTACAGGGCATGACCAGACACTGCGGACCTTTAGGGAGGGAGGGTGAGCGGGTACCTGAATTTGACAGGTACCCGCTCCCACTTCCGTGGAGTTCTCCTTCCTATACTGTGGACACCCGGCTTTGACAGCCGGGTGCCCAATGCGCATGCGTCCCAGAAGACACTGGACCATTCACAAAGCGCAGCGCTTCTCGCGCATGTGCAGTGGGCACCCGGCTGTCACAGATGCCAGGGTGGGAAGAAGCCAGCGCGGGAAGACTACAGCGCTGGACCGAGGAACAGGTGAGTTCCTGCCGCAGAGAACAGCTGAGCGGCTGGCCCGGTATTCTGACATGGTGGCGGCGGAAATATCGGCCGCTTTATATTCGCTCCATAAGACGCACTGACATTTTCCCCCCTTTTTTGGGGGAAAAAGTGCATCTTATGGAGTGAAAAATACGGTAAAACAACAAATTTCCATGAAAAACAATGTACCGCTTTGACAGTCAAAAATATTGATTAGTTAGACCGCCAGGGAGGTTCATTCTTCCCTGTAACAAAAAAAAAATCTTATGCATACCTCAAGTACTTTTAATGATTTTGTTCTTTGCTTGGATGATCTATGATCACAACGTATGCCCACTTGATTTCTGTCCCTACAGTGGCTACTCTGCCTTGCAGGGGTTTCCTGGAGTCTCTGCATAGCCATTCTCACATGCATGCTCCTGGCAGGGACTACGCCTACAGTTCAGACACGCATGGGTAGCAGGAAGCCCTACTTTGAAAGCCTCTATCCAGCTGTTCCCACAAGGGTAGAGATTGGCAGCTGCTCTGTTCTATGCACCCTTGCTGCTAGCATTGTTCATTAATCCAGATCCATAGTAAAACACCATCAAACAGTTCAAAACAAGCTGCCATTACTGTAAAATTACTGATAAACATTATATTGAGATACAGCAGGATTATGACAGCAGTAAATCACCTGACCGCTGCACGATGTGTGCAGTGCTTGCTTCATGATCAGAAGTTTGGGGGAGCACTGCAAGGATACATGGAGCTATGTGAATATGAACAAGGAACATTTGAGTGTGCGGAGTCTGATAATGGTAAAGGAAACTGCAATGATTCACTATGTGAAGTGACATCCAGTATTTGGCATGTCTCTTTTCATACTTGGTATTTCAGAATTGTAATACTACACTGAATTATTGCTTTAAATTGCATGACACTCAAGATGTAAACCAACAGAAAACCGTATTTAACTGTCTTTAATTCTTAAACTTTGGAGGCTGTTGGATTTTTGTCACTGCTGGAAATTAGCTTTCTAAGAGGATTATGGGATATAAGAGGCCAGCAGCATTAAATAGCACAGGTTATGTCGAGCGAGTAATCTGAACAAATCAAATAAAACACACTGAGGTTAATTATGGTTAAACGAGCACCAAGTTAACTGGTGAGCTGGCAGAGGTGGGGAGACACCACTAAAATAAATACTATTATCACTTGCTTCATCCAGTGGACAGAACTGATAGCTTCAGAGTAAGGTTGTGTAGGATCAATAAACATAAAACAAGTTTTGGCTCTCATAGGTTTTACCTTTAATTGCAGTGTATACACCTTACACCTGAACCAAAAGTTCCAAAAGATTGTTTACAAAGGTGAGCTGATTATCAAGGGTGAGTTGTTTGAATGGTTTCTCCTGCTCAATGCTCTGCAATGGTGAACCCTTGTGATCCACAGATCAATATTCTCAAAATTGGTGTGAATTTCCCTTGTGGTCTTCACAAAATCACAAGCTAATCAGTTACTCTATCATTTTTCCCAAAGGCTTTAACTGGTATCCTGTGACACAAATCCAGATGAAAATGTTAAAGCAATTAACCCTCCCATGGATATACCCATATCCATAGCAAGTATTAATGACATACAGACATTTGTCTCTGTTTTTATAGCATAACAAAATAACCAAAAGACATATATTCAATATGGAATAAAGACAATTCTATCTGCCTTTAAGGGAAACCTATTAAGGATAGACATATGGGAGCTGCCACTCTTTGCTATTCATCAGAAGGGTTTTTTTCTTTTATGAAAGGGCAAACCTCTTAGCATAGATGGGGAAGTGCAGCATGCTTTCATGTGCCTTCAGCTTTCATTTGACATTAGTTTCTGAGTTCGGCTTCTGAAATTCTTCTTAATTCATTTAAGGTACTTCTGACCCAAGTGACCTCCTTTCAAGCTGTTCCTTTGTCCCTATTGACTCATATGGGGAGAAAAGCAGGTCTAACATTACCAATAAAACATGCATGCAAGACTAATGATATCCTAACTCTAAAACTGCCGGCTGATCAATTAAAAAAACAGATTCCCCCATCAACAATAGCAAGGCGGATCGAGGAATCCTCTTCACTGCACTATTAACAGGGGCTCTTCTACTCTCTGAATAAACTGATCAGCACAGCAGATGATAGGTTGCATGTGCTGATCCAATGAAAATTTTCCAACCTTTCTGTTCTAGAAGTCGATCATTAGATTGACTTTTCTCAGATGGCCATAGATGTAGTGAAATTTGGCTGGTCCTTGCTGAACCTGCCAATTTTCGATCCATCTGTGGCCAGCTTTAGCTTGTGCATGTAGTGTCCTCTGCACATTAGAAGAGCTCTTTATGTGCAGTATTGGCTTTTCATAAATAGTATGTAAAAGTGAAATATTGCCTTTATTCCAACAAATCCAAATAAATTGTGTATTATAAAAAAAAAAAGGATTTTATGCGCATACTAAGCAGAGTAAGGCCTTTTTAACAAATAAGGTATTTGTGTCTCTTTTAATCACATATCCCAAAAATGAGATGCTTTACACCTTATCGGCCAGAACTGCTGGTGCATAGTCCAAAGATATGAATGCATATTGTTAATAATATAAAGCCAATTATTCCACACTGCCTACAGCTATTTCAGGCTATTTGGCCATCATCAGTGCAGTGTATGGAAACCATGGCTTCTAGGAAGTAGGCTAAACATCAGTTCTACATGTGCATCTGACAAATGTTGTATAGAGTATTAAGTAGCATCACTCCACCCACAGTCCTGAAACAAGGATTGAGGAAAGAACAAACAGAGGGCGCACAGGCCTAGTGCATTACCATAAAAAATAAAGTAGGTGTTGTACTCGCAAACGGCAATGTAGTCAAGGCACATCATAAAGAACAGCTGGGTCCTCAGAGCCTCTGAGGAAGAGGCAAGTCCTCGAAACGCGTCAGCCTATTGGATGTCTACACTCCCTATTGCGGACTGTTACTCAGCACGTTGTTTACCCAGCTGTTCTTTATGATGTGCCTTGACTACATTGCCGTTTGTGAGTACAACACCTACTTTATTTTTTATTAAACATTTTTTGTGGTAATGCACTAGGCCTGTGCGCCCTCTGTTTTGTTCTTTCCTCATTCAGTATATTTGGATTCCCCCGGTCTATTGAGGGCAGCAAGGTGTGCATGTTCCAGGACATTCTTAATGTGGTTGTAGCCTGCATCGAGTCCATCCCCCAAACGCAGGAGCATTTGTGTTTGCTGGTTCTCTGAAACAAGGATTGTCCTATTTTTGGGGTATGTGGTGGAAGGGAACATGCACAGACCTTTTTGTTTTTAAAAGGTTTTATTGTACGTACTACAGTATTCACTGATCAGAATGTGGGCTTTTTGCTTGCTTTAGGTCTCCTTCTCCCCATAATTTGTATGGATCCACTGTCCCATGTGAAGGCAAAAAAATAATTATATATATATATATATATATATAAAACATCAGTAACTTTAGGGGAAAAAAAAAACTGAAAAGGAGATATATATATATATATATATATATATGCAGCACAGTGGCTAAGTGCTTAGCACTTACGCCTGGCAGTATTAGGGTCATTGGTTTGAATCCCTACCACGGCACCACCTGCCTGCACTTTGCATGTTCTCCCTGTGCCTGCGTGGGTTGACTCCTGGTACTCTGGTTTCCTCCCACACTCCAAAGACATGCTAGTAGGTGAATTGGCTCTAGTATGTGTACCTATGAATGTGAGTTGGGGACCTTAGATTGTACAGCCCTTGAGGGTTAGGGACTGATGTGAATGTCCAATATATATAGATATATATGTAAAACTCTGTGTAAATTGACGTCACTATAGAAGTACCTGTAATGAATAAAGAAAAAAAATAAATATATATACAGTAGGGCAAAAAAGTATTTAGTCAGCCACCAATTGTGCAAGTTCTCCCACTTAAAAAGATGAGAGAGGCCTGTAATTGGCATCATAGGTAGACCTCAACTATGAGAGACAAAATGAGAAAAAAAATCCAGACAATCGCATTGGCTGATTTGGAAAGAATTTATTTGCAAAGTATGGTGGAAAATAAGTATTTGGTCACCTACAAACAAGCAAGATTTCTGGCTCTCACAGACCTGTACCTTCTTCTTTAAGAGGCTCCTCTGTCCTGCACTCATTACCTGTATCAATGGCACCTGTTTGAACTTGTTATCAGTATAAAAGACACCTGTCCACACAACCTCAAACAGTCACACTCCAAACTCCACTATGGTGAAGACCAAAGAGCTGTCGAAGGACACCAGAAACAAAATTGTAAACCTACACCAGGCTGGGAAGACTGAATCTGCACTAGGCAAGCAGCTTGGTGTGAACAAATCAACTGTGGGAGCAATAATTAGAAAATGGAAGACATACAAGACCACTGATAATCTCCCTTGATCTGGGGCTCCACGCAAGATCTTACCCCGTGGGGTCAAAATGATCACAAGAACAGTGAGCAAAAATCCCAGG